AGAAGAAGTACAACCAAGATTGGAAAAATCAACATTAAGATCATGAGCATATACATCACATTGGGGAGTGGGGGCACAATCAAACACATGAGATTCATCATTAAGGGAACGAAGCACATCACAAGAAGGCATGGTAAATAATGAAGAATATTGAAACACACCATTAGCATCAACTTGAGCATGTACCTCATCATCATGAACAAAAGAGGAAATAGAGTTGAAATCATGTGTTTTAGGTTCACTTAATGGATCATGTAACAAATCATGGGAATTCATGCTAATATTAGAAGTATCAACACATTGCATATCAATAATAGAATCATGATTACCCTTATTATAGACATCCCAAGCAAACCAAACATAAAAATCCCAAGCATCATCAATTAATAATGCTCTAAATTCACCATTATGCATGCATTCAACTTCATCCCTAGTTTGCTCATTCAAACCAAAATAACAAATCTCACAAGCCTCCCAAAGACTACAACAATCAAAATCCAAATATCCCACAAGTCTATTGAAATATTCACAAAAAGGCTCATTGTCATATTGAGGAAACGAGTTACTTGACATTTTTTTTTACAAAAACAAGCAAAAATTAAAAAAATAAAATAAAAATAAAATAAAAAGAAAAGTATACACAAAGACCTAGACTCAAGCAATCAAAAACAATCAAGCATTGACACCGTTCCCCGGCAACGGCGCCATTTTGATGGGCGTTAGAACGGTCGCACATTCCACACTCAATCAAATAAATTTATAAATCCTAAAACTAACCCCTAAACAAGTCTAGTGGTAAGTTCGGAGTCGAACCACAAGGAACGGTAATGCTAGATTGTTCTTAATCTAATGCCTAAGCTATGCCGAAGTCGATTTACGGATAAAGAACACTACAACTACACTAAAACACATATAAAGAACAAGGTATGATAAAGTCTACTAGGGGAAAAGATCCACTTAGAACAATTAATAATCTAATGAGAATCCATTTGATAATCAATCATGCAAAGAAAGAATTATAATGAGAATTAACTACACTCAAAAGTAATCTCTCAAATTCCTAGCCTAGATCCCTCATTGACTAGGTGCATAGAAGAAAATTACCCAAAATGCAATCAAATATATCAATTCTAATTCACAATCCCTTGTCAAACTAAACCAATATGCAATTAAGTGTGCTATCATGGGAGATCAATCCAATCTAAAACAAACAACATGCCAACATCAATTCAATCAATTTAATCACACAATTATCATCAAATTTATCTCAAATAACTCAAATAATCATTACAAAGCCTCACTCAACACCTAGTAGAAGGGAAACTACTCAAGCATAATGAAAGCAACTAAATAAAGCAATACGAGAAGAGAAAGTAAGAAATGCTCATTGATATAAGGTGGAGATCTTCAAATTCCTCATTTGATTATCCAAAATCCATGAAAACCATTGTGCTCCTCACTTTCTCTCTCTAAAATTTTGAGAGTTTCTCTCTCTAAAACCTAAAACTAACCTAAAATCTATTCTAAAATGAAAAATCTTTCTTTCTTTTTTTTAATGAGCAAAAAAAAACTATTTATACCCCTTACAAAAGTGCTTAGGAAGCTCCGCAAAAAGTCAGCTGAAACGGGAAAAGGTCCGACCGAACTCTGTGTAGGTTCGGTCGGACTCAGGGTAGGTTCGGCTGAACTCAGGGTAGGTTCGGTCGAACCTCCCTGATCCTTGTTTGGTCGAACTTTCCTGGTTCGACCCCTCCTGTAAACATGCTGAAAACTTGGTTGAAACTGCCTTGGAGGTTCGGTCGAACTTTTCAAAAGTTTGACCACACCTTGGTTCGACCGAACCTCTTAAAGGTTCGGCCACACCTCCTCTTGAACTTCCTCTTCTTGCTTCCTCTTCTTCCCTTTTGCTCCTCTAGTCTTTGTCCATGCCTCCATACTTGGCCAAGGGGCCTCCTACCGTGCTTAGGACCGTCATGGAACCTGCAAAAGATAGCAAAGATCACGAGAGCATGGGGATGATAAAATTATGCATAAAGATTATCAAAACAAGCGCAAATAAGCATACTTTTCATCCATAAAAGAAAAGGAAGCCATAAGAGGAGAAAAGAGGTAGAAAACCTAAGAAAAACAGGAGAAAAGAGACCAATACACTACCCCTAAGGGTAACATAAATGTCACTCATCAGCCGCCCGGTCAGGCGCGACAGACAAACTCGCCTCCTCGCACGATACTTTGCCCGCCCGGTCTTTTAGGGCAATGCCGCCCGGTCCGGGCGGATGGGAGTTGAATTCTTCACTTCTTTTCTTCTTCGCCCTGGCTGCCAGGGCAATGTTGCCCTCCAGGGCGATGGGGGTAAGATACATCTATGTACTACTTTTCTCTTCTCTTCTCCTTCCTTTGCCCTGGCTGCCAGGGCAATGTTGCCCTGCCAGGGCGGACACGGGTATCATCACTCTTCCATCTTAACAAACTCTCGTGACCATCCAAATTAGTCTCGTTCATCCTGAAATACATCAAAAACAACGAAACTACCCATAAAAGCACAACATGATCACAACCAAATCAAAACAAGCTAAAATAAGCTATGAACAATTAATCTAAGCTTGAAAACTACCTAAATGAACTTTAAAAACACGCTCAATATACGACTTATCAAACTCCCCCAAGCTAGACCAATGCTTGTCCTCAAGCATTGAAACATAGAACACAAGAAGAGTAGGATGGTCCCTTAAGCAAGAATATATGTGCGAACGAATTAAAACCAAGTGGAAAAACAAGAAATGCAAGTTAGTGATTATAAAACCACCATAAAATTCAAGCATTTGGAATTGACATCCAATCTTTCCACACATCTCCCCTAACCAACTCAGTCATATATGAATAGCATCTCACTTTAGTTGTGCAAATAAAACAAATAAGCCACTCATGTGTTTATAAGGGTTAGAATAAGAAATCACTCATCCTAATTGCAATTATGCACGTCGACTTCATGCAATTGTCCTCTTTAGATTTGCTCATAGATTTTCTCTACTTGTAAAGCGATGATGCAAGTATTGAAGTCATGAGATCCTAAATAAGGGTAGGCTTGGTTATATGGGGTTAGACGATGTCATTTGGGAATGTGGTGCTCAAAAATAACAAATAAAAATCCTAATCCCACTAAATAGCCAAATGTCGGGTTCAAACCAACCTTATATCCTCCGCACAACATATAAGCATGCCCTTATTCTCACTTTTATTCACAAGACAACATAGATTTCCATGACAAACATTGCCCTTTATTTTTTTCTTATTCATTCTCATTTTCTTATTTTTTTTCTTTTTTTTTCTTTGAAACTTGGAGCATACACAAACTTATTTTTCTGAATTTTTTCATTTTTGCTCTTTTTTTCTAACTTCTTTTTTTCTTTCTCTTTTATTTTCCAAACATAACTCAACAGGGCATAAATAATACATTGATTCTCCATCAAATAAACCTACAAAAAGGCTCTAAGGCATAAAATGTAAGGCGTCAAAGAAGGGGAATCATGGCTCAAATTGGTTCATCCTAAGAGTTAATGTAAAATAAAACGAAAATAAAATAAGCATCAAACACCTAAGAAGTTTTGGCTCTAATTATCTAAAAGGAACTTCAATCACTCTTCCACATTTCATCATAAGTCTCAAATAATCGCAAAGCAAATCCAAGAATCAAATTACATGAAGGAAAATCTAACACACATGAAAAAAGAATGGCTGATATAAGATGTATCAGTAAAAAATGGCTCAAAAGTCTCACATAGGTACTCAAGCTATCCATATTGGTCGAGCGGGGAGACCATTCTAGCCACAAACAAGTTCAATTCCAAATCAATCAGTGAATGGGCTTTCAAAAACAAGTTTTTCACTTTTTAAAATCACACATATATTACATATCATCATCGAGGCAAAGTCGTATAAAGAACCCAAAGTAGAAAGTAATCCCTCCCCCAAGCTAAACTTCACATTGTCCTCAATGTGAACATATATCGAGTAAGAACAGGCAAGGGAAAAATAAAACTAGGCCCTACTGGCATAGGAGGGATCATACCTAGGGGAGGAGCTGGGACTGCCCTCAAAATAACGTCGCATCATAACCCCAAGACACTAAAAAAAATTAATAAATAAATAAAATATATAAAAAAAAGAAACTAAAAGGAAAATAAAACAAAAAAGGAAATGGGTTGCCTCCCATTTAGCGCTTGTTTAAGGTCTTTAGCTCGACCCCTCTTTAGTAGCTCAACCTGGGTTACCACACGGAGAAGATACTCTGCGGTATTTCTCATCAATATATCCACCTCCAAACGACTCCTTCAAATTAGCGTTGATGTGCTTTGTATTCGAATTGACCTTCATGTAACTAAACCCATCATGTGGTGGAATATTGTCCTTTTTGCTCACAGGATTTCTATTAGAAATACACTTATCAACCAAAAGGTTAGTAGCATCGATTTTCAAACAAGTACCACCATCAAAAATAAAATTATGGTCATTGAAAAGCTTAAACACAACTTGTTTATCCTGAGCTCTAATGGTCACTTGTCCTTTAGGAACATTTATTAAAGCTTGACTTGTAGCAAGAAAAGGGCGACCAAAGATGAGTGGGATCTTATGGTCTTCTTTCATATCCACTACAACAAAGTCAACAGGAAAAACAAGTTCACCAATCCCAACTAATACATCTTCAACTACACCCTTAGGGAGTCTAACATTTCTATCAGCCATATGAAGAGATATAGGAGAGGGTTTAAGGTTTTTCAAACCTAATTTGTCATACACTGAAGAAGGCATTAAGTTAACACTAGCACCCAGATCACACAAGACCCTATCAAAATATGTTTCGTTTATCATACAAGGGATAGTAAAACTACCAGGATCATGCAATTTAGGTGGTAAGCTATCATGTAAAGGATAAGGACATTTCTCCTTTACTACCAAACTTTCTAATTTCTTATCATTATGATCATGATCTAGAATTCCTTTCACAAATTTGCAAATTGAGGCATTTGAATTACAAGATCGGAAAAAGGAATGGTAGCATATACCTTCTTAAGAGTCTCAGAATACTTCCCAAAATGCTTATCGAGCACGGCTTTTGATAACCTTTGCGGGAAAGGCATCGGTTCCTCATAGGCTTGTGGAGCGACATATTTGGGACCTCCATTCTCGCTCATTTCAGTTTTTGACTCCAGATTGCACACTTTCTCCTCTAATCCCCCCGTAGTCAATCCGTTTCTTTTCACGAAAATTGCATTGCATTGTTTTATTTGGACTTTTGCTTGATCTTGAAGAGTTGATAGATGACTTAATTGTTGTGATAGTTGAGAAAGATGAGTTTTTATCCTCTTATTTTGAGCAACAAGCAATTGAATCGAGTTTTCAAAATATTCATTTTTCTTTGCTTGTAAATCAAATTGCTTTGATATAAGCTCTTGTTGTTGACGTTGGGAGGTAGCAAAAGTCTCCATAATGGATTCAAGATTTGAAGATTGAGGTGGTTGGTGGTGCATGGGATGATGATTGAAAGGTGCCCTTACTTGAAAAGCTGGAGGTGGTGGAGGATTTGCTATAGCTTGAGTGTTCTTGTATGAGAACCCTTGATGATTTCTCCACCCTTCATCAAATGGCCTTGTGGAGGTCGTGGTATAGAAAGCATTAGCTTGCTCAATCGTCATTCCATCATAATTGGGCTGACACTCCCGCGCAGTATGGCCTTGTAATCCACACATCTGACAAGTTTCCATCGAGGGTCGAGGGGACTCAACTTGGAGTTGATTGACCTTATGAGTTAGTGCCTGCACAGAACTAGTCAACATGGTTAGAGCATCAACATCATGTTTATTACCTATGTTGATAGCATTTCGTCCCCTTGGATGGTAATTATCATTAGCCGCCATCTTCTCAATCAAATCCTTTGCATCGGTTGGGTTCTTTGTCATGATAGAACCTCCAGACGCAGCATCAATATATATGCGAAACTCATGGGTCAAACCATTATAGAATGTTTGGATCAACATCCATTCTGGAATGTGAGGGCATTGTCTCTGCAATCGCTTAAACCTTCTCCATGCCTCATATAAAGACTCGTCATTAGATTGATGGAAGGTAGATAGCTTGTTCCTTAATTTCGCGGTTTTCTCTTGGCCCAAGAATTTTACTAGGAAGGCCTTAGAAAGCTTGTCCCACGTATCAAAGGAACCAATACCTTCATCTCGTAGCCATTCCCTTTCCCTATCCCTTAGTGAAAAAGGGAAAAGGTGTGGTCTGATAGCATCATCAGTGACACCGTTAAGTTTCATAGTGTCACACTTCTCCAAGAAACTATCAATATGAGTCACAGGGCAATCATTTGATGAGCCCGCAAAAGAATCATTGGAGATGAACTGTATGAATTGGGGCTTTAACTCAAAACTCTGAGCGGTGACAGGTAGTCTAACAATACTGGAGAGAAATCCGGTTGTTGTATCCGGAATACCATACTCCAAAAGAGATTTTGTTCCTGGGTCGACCATGTTTCTTTTATTTCGATTTCTCCTTCTTCTACTTCTTCGTCTTCTTGCAGTAGCTTCGATCTCAGAATCAAAAGGTGTTAAATCATCTGAACCTAAACTTCGAGTTTGCATGCAACAAAGAAACTAAAACGAGAGATCAAAGACACAAGGAACAATAGCCGAAGCAACAAAATATATGCTTAGTAAAATGAATCACAAATAACTAGAATGAAACCGTTAGTCCCCGGCAACGGCGCCAAAATTTGATAGGCGTGTCGCGTACCTAAAAAAAATAAACCTAACTAGACCACTACTATGTAGACGGGCAAGCAAGGGTCGGATCCCAAGAGACTATGGTTCAACTAATTAAATAGACTCAAGCAATTACTAAGCAAGTAACCAATTTAAATTAGTGAGAATCAATAACTAAAGAACTAATTAAAACGATTAAATCAAAACAATATGACAAATCAATGCTAAAAACATCCAAGATCAAGCTTCACCACGAATACAATTAATGCAATAGTCGTTCTACCCCTAACACATAATTTAATTGATTAAAGAGGAAAAGTAATCCATGAACAATACCAATGGTCTCTCCCGAGTTATCAATGGCTTCTCTAACCACAATCAAGCCTACTTCCGTGGAATCATGTAAATTAAAGACCTTGAGCACATTACTCTAACTTCCTAATCATCCATTCAACTACTCCCATGATGAACTTCAAACCCTTAACTGATTTATTCAAATCCGTCAAAACCCAACTCCCGTTGCGATTAAAACAAAGGATTAATAACAACACCAATTATCCCTAATCTATTGGCATAAGCATAATCAATTAAGCATATCAATTACAATTATTATTAGAAAATTTAAAGAATTAAATCATGCATTAATCATATTCGGGTCCCGCTAGATCTTAGAATAAGAAAACTACTCACATATATTAACGAAAGCGAAAACAATATTCAATGAAGAAAACATGATTAATAAGCAATTAAAAGTAAAATAAGAAATAAAGATGAATACCAATTGCTTGAATGAAGAAAAGTACCAATTGTTGATGAACAAAGATCAAAACTTGAAAGTGCAAATTAATCTAGATCTAGAGAGAATATTAGGGTTCTAATGAAGGTTTTAAAGCTAGAAAATAATAACTAAGTATGTTTCAGTCGGGATTTACAAAGGGTATTTATAACCCTTAAAATAAGAAACCCGAAAATAGTAAAAACACGCTTCGCGAAACTCCGCCAGGTCAGACCGGGCAAAGCCGCCCGGTCGGGCGCGACAGACAAACTTGCCTCCTCGCACAATACTTTGCCCGCCCGGTCTTCCAGGGCAATGCCGCCCGGTCCGGGCGGATGGGAGTTGAATTCTTCACTTCTTTTCTTCTTCGCCCTGGCTGCCAGGGCAATGTTGCCCTCCAGGGCGATGGGGGTAAGATACATCTATGTACTACTTTGCACTTCTCTTCTCCTTCCTTTGCCCTGGCTGCCAGGGCAATGTTGCCCTGCCAGGGCGGACACGGGTATCATCACTCTTCCATCTTAACAAACTCTCGTGACCATCCAAATTAGTCTCGTTCATCCTGAAATACATCAAAAACAACGAAACTTCCCATAAAAGCACAACATGATCACAACCAAATCAAAACAAGCTAAAATAAGCTATGAACAATTAATCTAAGCTTGAAAACTACCTAAATGAACTCTAAAAACACGCTCAATATACGACTTATCAATGCCAAATTCATTTTTTCACGTAGTGAAGCAAAGGGAAATAATTAAACATGTGATGATTAATTATTCAACCAAGAGTTACAAGAGTTGTAATCAGTAAAGAGTTTACTCACCTTGAAAATGTAATGGTTGATGGTAGGGCCAAAGTCCGGTCAATTATTGCACAAATAAAGGGTCTTGGAATCACTTAAATTCAATTGGGATCAATTGATTATTGAATAAAGTGTTTTAAAGTTACCAAATGAATGCATTTATGGTACTTTAATTTTAAATTAAACATAATTATTAAACTTTGCCTTATTTTGACATAGATGGGTAGCCGTAACCACAATGACAACAACGTTTACAACCTTCGACCATTCCTTGAGAAGGATAGGTTGACAGGGGATAACTTTTCCACTTGGGAAAGAATGCTAAGACTTGTTCTGAAATCTGAGGGTAAAGAGGATATCATTGACACCCCATTGCCAGGACCTCTGCCAGAAAATCCAACTGCGGCGGAGATCAAGAAGCACAAGGAAGCTCATGACAGAGCTATACCTATCACTTGCTTAATGATTGCTACCATGGAGCCTAGTCTTCAAAAGCGTTTTGAGGACCAGGATGCCTACTCAATCATGCAAGAACTCAAAGCTTTGTTTAAGAAACAAGCTAGAGTTGAAAGGTATGAGCTCCATCGTGAGATTCTGGATTGTAGGATGGAGAAGGGAGCCACAGTTCATGATCATGTTTTCAAAATGATCGGCCTAATTCAAAGTATGGAGAAACTGGGGCACCCATATAGTGATGATTTGGCAACAGATATCATTCTCCATTCACTATCAGAAAGTTTCAACCAGTTTATCATGAATTTTAACATGACTGCCACTGCAAAGACTATGAATCAATTGCATGCAATGCTGGTGCTAAGAAACAAATCCCTAAGGAACCTAAGAAGGAAGTTCTTATGATTCAAACAGGAAAGGAGTTCAAGAAGAAAGGGCAAAAGGCTAGTTCCAAGAGCAAGGGAAAGCAAGTTGCCAAGGCTCCTGAAAAGCCTAAGACGACTCCAAAGCCCAAGGCTGCAAGTGAAAGTGAATGCTTTTACTGCAAGAAGAAGGGGCATTGGAAGCGAAATTGCCAGAAATACCATGACTTACTCGAGAAGAATGGAGCATCAACCTCAGGTATAATGTTATAAACATTTTAACTTTCACTTAGGTATGAGATACCAAGTTGCAGTGCTTAACATAGTGATGTTGCGCAGGAACTGCAAACAAGTGAAGCTAGCATGGAAATGGAGCTTGAAGGTGCACTAGAAGTATTTGAGTGGCCAGAGATAGCTTCATAGTTTTAAATTTTGATTAGTTTATCATGATTTTAGAACAATTTCCAGTTTTGATGAGACAATATTTCGGTTTTCTTGTTTTGAATACTGAATTTGGTTTACTTGGCTTGGACAAGTGTTGATCCATGACCAAGGTAATAAATTGTTATTCATTTTGCTAGATATGAGTTAATTTTGTTTTATAACATTAATATAAATAGATCACAAAAATAAAATTTAGATGATTCAAAATACACTTACTTATAACAAGTAAGGTTAGGTCACACTAACCATTTGCACATCCTAAGTAATGGATGGACTCTTATTCTTATATGATTATGAATCACTTGAGAATTAGAAGTCATGCTAGATAAAAGTTAAGATGACCAAGTTGCCTTTTAGTAGAAAGGGTAAAAGAAGCTAAAATGACCTTTTGGTACTCATACAAATGATGTATGTGAACCAATAAGTTCAAAATTAGCAAAGAGATTTAACTATTTCATCGCTTTTACTATTTAAGTAAATATATCGATAATTACTTAATGAAGTAAAGCTTGGAAACATTGAAAAGTTCAAAATTCCAAAAATGAAATGTAAAATCAGTTTGAGATAAACAATTTAACACCACAATATGATTGTTGTGATAAATATTTAACTCAAAAAGGAATGATCATCTAAAGGGAATTGTTGAATTAATTCACAATCCAGAAACATCACAATTAAATTGTATGTTTATGAAGAATGAATCAAACTTTGCTTGCCATTGTTCGATCCAAAATTTAATGATTGACAAATATCGTTTTGAGGATATGCATTAGAACAACAACAATTGCGAATATACTAAACAAGAAACTTAACCAAAGCAGTAGAAAAGATGTCATAAGAGTTATGATTTGGAAATGTTCCAAAATTTATCTTTTCTAAACAGGATTAAGGGTTATGAAATCAATGTAAAATGTTAACAAATATAACATAATACACCCTAAATCAGAAATGTAGTTTTTCATGGGTTTTCTCATGGAAACTAAGAGGTATTATTCCTAAACAATTGCGCAGAAACAAAGTGTTTGTTGCTCGCGATAGTGTCTTTATAAAAAGAATGTCTTCCTACAAAGCCAAGTGGGAGTAAAGTTAGATCTCGATGAGATTCGAGACGAGCAACAAATGGATGTGGATAACACTACATCAGAGACGAAGGCATATGAAATCAGCTAATTTGATAAACCATGTGTCGAAGCAAGCTAATTCCACTAGTGTTGAGTCCCTTAGGTTTTGATTGATAGTTTTGAATGATGACAAACAGCTAAGGGAAACAGGTCCTTGAAGGTGTTCGATACAGTTAGGGGAACCAGCTAACATAGAACACTGTTTCCCCAGACAAGTTATTACTTACATGAGTTTTCTTATTGAACTAACTTGTCTTTATACAGGGAACAGTTATATGATAAAAGTGTTATGTACTGGTAGGGAACCAGTATGTAATGTTTCCATGGTTGCTACGTGGTAAAGCAGTCACATACTCTTTATTGTGCATTAACCATGTTACATGTGCAGTAGTTGAGTTGATTCCAAGACTTGGAGCATAGAAGCCTTTCGAAGATATTTCGAAGAAAGATTGTTTGCTCATAATAGAAGTATTCAAGGAAGATTCAAGTCTTGAAGATTACATGAAGAAAAGACGATTTATGCTTTAATATGTTATCTAGGTTTTCATGTAATATGCTCCGTAGTATGCTTGCATGTTTGGGTTATATAAGTGCTTAAAAGTATATTGAAGTATGATATGAAATCTGGTACAAAGTTGGAACAGGTTTCATAACATGTTTCAATTCAGGGAACCAGGTCGGGGAACCAGGTTCACTGTATTCGAGCTGCCGTTTTGGAAAAAGATTTTACAAAAAGATTTTTTCGAAAAGATTATTTTGAAAATATTTTGTGCAGCTGGAAATAAGATGAAATATTCTTGGTTACCTAA